AGAAAGTGAAAAATGGCTCTGCTGACAACCAGACAACAATGTTCCCAAAAGATCACAAATAATGCTCAAAACAACACATAGATAAGGTCACTCCATAGCCATGTTTAGAGAAAGACATACATAAGGCCACCCTGTGACACAAACATGACTCAATATCCCCCTCTTCTGACTAACATCACCAGTGTGAGTGGCTACTGCTTCCGTAACAATACGTCTAAACCCACTTTAATACTCTCACTTCTTAGATAAAACTCATTATGACACCCAATCTCTGCATTGACCTACCTTCTTAGTGTAAGTAAAGGAAGATACAACGTATCTTGGAAAGTATAGAAGGTTTGTCCTAAAAACATTTTGTAAAGATAGAAGTTTGGGGTGATTAACAAGAAATACTAGGTAAAGTGAGTAGAAAAATTAATAATCAGTACCTATGTGATCCCAAACTTGCTATGGGAAGGAGGTGGTCTGATTCACCTCCTACCTTCTTAGCAGTCTGAAATCTAATACAAGTCTCCCTGTCCTAATCCCTCCTCAAATCATCTAACATACGCCCCAACGCTAAAAGACCCCTTTAACAACTCCCTCCTGAAATGCTCCTGGGGTTTCCGCAAAGTGAGACCACTCTTTCTGGAACAATATAAATAAAACTTTTTTTTTTTTTTTTTCGCTGCAGATGTGTTCCTGGCAGTCTCTGATCCATTCGTTTGACAAGTAATTTTAAAAAATTTTTTAAAAACATTGACCTCTGAGCTAGATCTAGGCTATGAACATCTACCTTTTCATCTCAGTTAAGGTGTGATGGTTAATTTTATGTATCAACTTAACTGGGCCATGAGGTGGCCAGATATTTGGTTGAACTTTATTCTGGGTGTGTCTGTGAGGCTGTTTCTGCATGCAGTGAACATTTACAGTGGACCGAGTGAAGCAGACAGCCCTCCCTTACGTGAATGGGCCTCATCCAGTTAGTTGAAGGTTTGAATAGAACAAGAAAGTTGAGTATGGGGGAACTCCTTCTGACTAACTGCCTTCAAGCTGGGACACTGGTTTCCTCCTGTTTTTAGACTTGAACTAAAACATTGGCTCTTCCTGGGTTTTGAGACTGTTGGGTTTCAGATGGAACTATGTCATTGGCTCTCTTGGCCCGCCAGCTTAATTATGTGAGCCAATTTTCTACAATAAATCTCAATCTTTTTATCTCTCTCTCTCTCTGTCTGTCTCTCTCTCTCTACATATATATATATGTATATATATATGTATATATGTATCTATAATTTAAAATATTTTAATTTATTTAATATGTTCATCAAATTTTAAAATATTCATATATATTTACATATTTCTGACATATATGGCATCTATATGTCTACATTTATCTCTCTATAGCTATATCTCCCTATATGTCTATGTCCTATCAGTTCTGTTTCTCTAGAGAACTATGGCTAACACAGAAGCGAAAGGGTGATGTAACATCAATGAGCAGATTTTCCCATTTTCTTACATCATTTTGTGTTTTCTTTCTCAGTAGATTAAAGAGGGGTGGAAAATTACAAAATACAGTGCATGCCACTTAAAGTAAAGGTTGTGATTATTTTTATTCGTGCCAGGAGGAAGAACTTTATTCTCCTTGATTTGAGCAAATCCATTATCAGACTTTTCAATTTCAGGGATTCCAAATTTAGGTCCACTTGGGGCTTGGATGACTGCTGTGTCTGAGAGGGCTTCTTTCTCTGCAGTTTCTTAAAATGCAAGAACAGAAATCAGGAAACATTAGAGAGCCGAACAAAATGATTCAGATATTTATATAGGTAACTAAGATGCTGTTGCTTTTCTTGACTAGAATTTCATTATAGCTTCATTAGGCAAAGAGACTCTACTCCTAATAGTGCATCTGATCGTCAGAAATGCAATTAGCAAATCAAAAAATGTATGAAAGACAAATAAATGGCTTCCCAGGCTGAGAAGAGCCAAACAGATCTAACTGTGGGTGATTTTGGAGGCCTGGATAGTGACTTCCCTGAATCCCTAAGCCTAACTTTTCTGATTTACCAGAAGTGAGAAACAAATGCATACCCAGACAGCTCCTCTGAACAGCAGGCACCCAAGCCTAAACCCAGATGGTTCGTCACTATGAATGACTGTTCTCATGCTTGTTCAGTAAAAAGACAGAACAGGAGGCCCATGGTATGATCAGCTGCACATCAACTCAACATGCTTCTACACAGGATAACAGGAAGGTGAGGGAGTTGTCCTTCTGACTCTTCCATCAATGGTTGCCAACCTACACTAAGGGATGCTTGCTAGAATGGAGCTGAGCTAAAGTAGAGTGTGTCTTGCTGGAGACAGGTCCTAGTCTGCCCTGAGGGTCTTTTAACTAAGAGCACTACTGCCCCCTCCTTGGCCTTATCTATCCTTTTGACCATCATTCTTGCCTCTCAATTGCCATTTTGACCCCAGACACAGTCACATTCTTCTGCCTCCTCAACTTGTCTAGGCACCGTACCCTCTACCTCTAAACCTCACATTTGCCTCCTGCACTACACACTGCCTTCTCCATCAGTTCAGTTACTGCTTCCCAAAATAAGAATATTTGACCTTCTTCTCTTTTCCACGACCTCTGATTTTACTTGGCAACCAGCCACGGTTTGTTAGAATTTGGTCACAAACAGGTATTGACACAAAAATTCAACTTCAGGGAACTAAAAATGTTTTAGATGGCAAGGAATCTTGAAGTTGAGAATCAGTCCAGAGCTGATGAAACTGCTCAAGGAAGTCATCTGGAACCAGATTCCTTCTAGTTGCTTCTCCTCTCTCATCCTTGGCAAGTGGCTTCTGTTTTAATGATCCCCAGGATGACTACTCTGCATCCACGCAAATTTTAACTCCAGAACAGAAAAAAAGAAGAAGGGAAAGAAGAGAGAAAGGACGAAGGACAGGTAAATGAAGCAAATGCTACCTGGCTACCTGGCTGCATGTACTAATAATGCACTTATCCTGCTCCTTTGCAAGCATTATTTAGTATTTAATTAGGAGCAATACTAACCCCTACTCAGAAAGGAGAACAATGGAAGTCACACAGGAGAGACAGTGCCAAAGTCAACACCAAACATTGCCAGGCAGGAAAACTCAGGACTCCTGTGCTCTGTCAGAGGTGCTGTTCTCGGTTACCCATTCTGGCATCCTCCCGTCCTGCTTCTGGAGAGATTCTTCCTTGTCTGTTTTCATCCATGGCCACATATGAAATGGGTGTCATAGAAAATCACTTCCTTTGAAGCCACAGATATTTTTGGGCCACTTCCTATTGGTCTTAATTTGAGGTAAGGAATAACCTTAGAGGTTTAACAATGACAGGCTCTTATTAGCCTCCAGCAATACAATTCCCTCAAAAGGTTACAGAATTTCCAGTGTTGGAATAATTTCTCAATTAATTCCATATACAAGTAACCACAGACAAAGATTTCACTTAAACATGGTATTTAGCTGGAAAATTCCTTTCCTTTATCTTCTTCTGGTATGGTTTGGCTGTGTCCTCACCCAAATGTCATCTTATATTGTAGCTCCCATAATCCCCACGTGTTGTGGGAGGGACCCGGTGGGAGGTAATTGAATCATGGGGGCAGGTTTTCCCTTGTTGTTCTCATGACAGTGAATAAGTCTCATGAGATCTGATGGTTTTATAAAGGGGAGTTCCCCTGCACATGATCTCTTTCCTGCCGCCATTTAAGACGTGACTTTGCTTCTCCTTTGCCTTCTGGCATGATTGTGAGGCCTTCCCAGTCATGTAGAAGTGTGTGAGTCCATTAAATCTCCTTTTCTTCATAAATTACCCAGTCCTGGGTATGTCTTTATTAGAAGCATGAGAACAAACTAATACACCTGCTGATCTCTGGGCTTTTCCCAGTCCTCTATTCCATAGCTTAATGGCCAATGCCTTGAGGTCATTCAAAATAATGATGGCGAGATAGCAAGTGTAATGCCAATGTGCATTTGTCTGAAGAAATCCTCAGAGCCTGGATGGAAAAGTCTTAAGTTACCAATCTATGAAGGCTGCAGACTTCCTGTCACTGTCCCTGCCAGCTCAGCTTAGTAGGAATAAATTTCTTTTTAAAACTCAGCAGCATTGACAAATATAGGATTGTCAGTGAATTTAGAATGCAAGCCACAGGTAAGGCATTGATCTCTCATTTCCACTTGCAGACTGGCTAACTTGGATCTAGGCACAGACCACTCCTTCAGAAAAAAAAATCTATAGCCATATGCCAGGGTTCTGAATTTTTTCCGCTCTTTATCCTAATAGCAAAGCTGCCATGGCACATGGTCTGTATCCCAAAGAACAGCGGGTGACAATCTGACCAAATGTTCGGCCACCACATAAGAAGAGTCACCAGATTTGCAGCCTGAAATACCTGAGACCTCACTATCAAAAGCCCTGCCTCTTCCACTCAGCCAATTCCACATTTTAGAATCTTACTTGCTGTATCCTCTTTCAGGTGGAAAGTCTATTTAAGGTATAATGCATTCAGCTGCAGCTACTAAGTAAATCTGCCGGAATACAGTCCCCTGTAACCCAGCTCACAGAAAGGTGTTTGAATGCAGATTTGCCATTGATAATGCTATCGTTTCTTACACTCCAATCATGACATCCTCCATGAAGCATAGCTTAGGTACGTGATCTAATGTGTTCCTCACAATATTGATATGGGATACGAATATGATAATATATGGGTATATGACATGATAACAGAAGATATGGGTATATTATCATCCCCATTTTACTGATGAGTAAACTGAGGCTCAGAGCCTAGGTACTTTGCTAAGGTTCTCACATTTGCTAAGTTGTGGAGCTGAGATTTGAACCTAGATCTGAGTGACACAGAAGTTGGTCCTTTTTATTATTTAATCACTTTAATCATTTAATCTATTATTGAGGTAAAAGTGCACCACAGAGGACCAAAAGGAGAACTACAGTACAAGTCTGGGTGCCTGTAGCCATGGCACGGCTGTGGCGTAGTGGTTCCAATGTGGCAACCAGAGGTGTCCTTCTGGTTGTCTTGGTATGGAGCCACAGCTCCAGCACTGAGTCACAGTCACATGCAGAGGCCACCAAGGAACATGTGATATTTCAGATCTGAGTCGATGGTTTCACATGTAAACATTATCAGAAAACAATGAGTCAGGCTCTCCCGAGCCATATGCTTCATCTCAGAGCCAAGGCTGTGTCATCACTGCCAAATGCTCCTTCAGGCCACTAAATCACCACAGTAAGATCAGAGCTTCAGGACCTAAGTAGTGCCTGGGGATCTGAAAGAGACGACTGACGGAGGTGGTTGATGGGATTCTTACAGGTAAGTCCAATGGGATTTTTCACTTGTATCACCCTGGGGTGCCCTTGGTGGAAGCTGAGAGACCAGGTCCTCTAAAATTGTGACAGTTGCTCTCTTTGGAAATGAGGCACTCTCTTGGTTTAAATATTTTGTTCCTGTTTTCCCCCTACAATTCCCTTCAGTTAAAAGATGATGTATGACATTCATTGGATAAATGAAGCTGATGCATTGTGAGCATTTCGTGACCTCTGACACCCTGAGGGGTCCAAGCTGGGCTGGAAGTCTGCAGGGAGGCATACCTTTATTCAGGACTGAGCCATGTTGGTCGCAAGGGCCCTGGAACCAAATGTGTTGAAGACACAGACACCTGAGGGGCCCTAGCCCTGCAGACACCTGGACTTGCTGGTGTATCTTTCAGAGGAGGAGCTAGGCAGGGTTGTTTCCTTCCAGATGAAGTAAAAGCATGAAAAAGAAGAAAGGGAAGTGTCTACTTCTGGACACTAGTGATAAAATTGGTTTGAGGGTATTGCTACTCAGAAATACCAAGACATCCAGGCACCTGCTCTCACCTGCTGTGCCCCGTGTCTTCTGTGTTTTGCAGACAGAGCAGCAGCTTTATCTGAATCTAGCCATGTCAAGTGATTAGATCATATATTTAGTTTTTGTCTCATCAATTGATGATACACTTGAAGAAGGCAAAGAGGGGTGTGTGTGTGTGTGTGTGTGCATGTGTCTGCGCGTGCACGTACATGGTGTGTTTATTTCCTACAGTCTCTAGGACAGCAAAAGCGGCTTTGCCATTTTATTTGTTGAAGTGCCCTGAAATATGATATATGGAAAAGTGGAAGAGATCCATAATAATATTTCACTTTTGAGGTGATTTATGCGTTACAACACTAGATTGCAGAGTGGGCTAGAATTAGAAATGGATAGATTTTTGGGTAAAATACATATCTTGAACAGAGTTTTTATGCTGTATATATACACAAAGAGATATCTACAGAAAAAGACAGATAATAGATGCAAATAGATAAAATTATGTATTAGTAACATTTACCACAAGTATGTTTATCTATTTCACACACAAAAATGAACGCAATCACAGAAAATAGGAGAGACGTTAAGAAAATACAGTATCATCTAAAAGCTGTCCCCTTTGTTGAAGGAAGTGGAAAAGTACAGCTCCTTTTTCTTCACAGTGTGCCCTTGAGGAATGACAATGAATTTCTCGTTGTCTTCCTCTATTTGATACAATGCACTGCCTTCATTCTCTGTGATACAGATTTTATATTCATAGGATTCATAGAATCTTCAATTTCAATGCTGTTATCTTTTCACCTTGTAGAGCTAATAGGAATTAATACTATATCCCAGGTATAACTGTACCTCTCTCTATACCTTCTTCCCTAAAGAGGTGTGTGTCCTTTATGAATATTTAAAGGATTGAATCATATTTTTTAATACTTAAGAAGATCTTGTCTCAGAGTATTCATTTATGAATCTTTTGGAAAATGAATGATTAGTTATTGACTTATTACTTAAATATGGATTTGTATGTACTGGGTTTATTTGTAAATCTTTCAGATATGTAAGATAGTCCTTCAAGTTGGAATCCCAGTAGTGATTTTACAAGATCAGGATGACCACAAAAAGCCACCAAGAGTGAAAGGTGACTCCAAGCAATAATGTATCTAGACATGTACATATTTCCAAAGTCTTATTTCACCTATTCCTTAATACCAGTGCAACAAGGAGAGGTGGTTAATGCCCCTTTTATAGTCAGTTAATTCTGCAGGACCATGATATAGGTTAAATAATTAGAAAATGCCTTTAACTAGAGTCCAGTGACAAAGTTCCCACTGGCGTGAGATTACCACTGGCTTTGAGCTCTTTGAGCTCAGAGGGTATGCCTGCCAATGTTCTTATTTCTTTTCTTTTTTTTGAGATGGGTTTTTCTCTGTTGCTCAGGCTGGTCTTGAACTCCTGAGCTCAAGCAATCCTCTTGCCTCAGCCTCACAGGTAGCTGGGACTATAATGCATGTCACCATCCCTGGCTCATGTTCATACTTCAATCCCAGTGTGGTGATTTAAATGTAATGGGTGCTCATTAAATGTATTTTTCATTTATATTTAATAAATATAAACAAGATTCATCATTTAAATAAGAGGGAAACTAGCATCAAAGCAATACGTCTGGCTATTCAAGAGAGAAAAATCTCTTATTTCACTCTCTGAATTCTAAGCTGGAGGAAAGGGAACCGGTACCATCGAAAGAGGACAAGAGAGAAAATTCTCAGATTTATTTGGAAAGCGATTCTATTCATCTTGTCTCAGATTCTTTAAGTGAAACTAGTTAAGTGAAGAGAGAAGGAAAGCAGTGACTACAAGAGAATCAATCAGCAGATATTGAAAAACTTTCACATAACTAATGGCATCTGCTTAGAAAATATGAATTGGACCCAAAGTGGTATTCTTTTTGGTCACTTATATTGGAATTTAAATGCGTAACTAAAAATGAAATCTTTAGAGAAAATTTCATTTCTTAAGCTGAAATCTTTCCACAAGTTGGAGAAAAGAGAGATGTACATCCAGGAAATCAAACCTAAAAGACAGGCTGAGGTTATACATTGAGATTCCCCAGTCAGAGGCCACACTTTTCTTTCCCAATTACTGTTCTTTTCCTTGGGTCCTACATTCATCACACATTAATTCTAGGCTTCACTTACAGTCAGCTCTTCTCTGTGGCCCATCTCAGCATAATGAACTTTTGCCATTATCTTGATCTTGTTAAATTCTCTCTAACCTTAACCTAATGAGATACAGTGAATGTGCAACCATAAATTAGACATTCAGACAATCTTAGTCTGTTCTCAGTGCAGCAATCCTTTTAACTTACATCCATCACTCTTTTGCTCAAGCACACTCAGTGGCTCCCTATTTTAGTAAAGTAAAAGGAAAAGCCCTTTCAATGGCCTTCACAAGCCGGCGTCTCTGTATTACTCCCTGTCCCTCCCCCTAGCACACATGGCTCACTCTCCTCCAGTCACACCAATGTCCTTGGGAAGTCTTCCACCAAGTCTTTGTTCAAATGACATCTTCTCCATCACCACTCTGTTTAGAAATAGAATCACCTCCTAACCCATACCCTTCTCTGCTCCATTTCTTCTCTCCAGTCCATTTATCACCTTTCAATATACTATACAATTTTCTTTTTTATTATTGTGTTTATTGCTTATTTTCTATTCCTCACACACTAGAATGTGAGCTTTGCAGGCATAGGGATTTCTGCCACGTTTTTCACTGATGTATTCCAAGTGCTTAGAACAATGCCTGACATAGAGTTAATAGTTACTCGATAGATATTTGTTGAGTGAATGAATGAGGAAAGGAAAGAATATGCCCAATATTCATTATCATTTATTAAGTGGTAACAAAAATAATGTGAAATGTAAGTTTAATTATATTTGCTTCTCTATACTTTGGACCACATGTCTGTATATTAGAATTAAGCGTTCTAATGAGGCACTGAGATAGAGAGGGAAGAAATAGGCTTGGGAATCAACTACGGTGATGTTCAAATTGTAGTTCTGCCCCTTGCTAGCTATGGAAGAGTTAAGTCAATTTCTGCGAGCTTCGGTTATCTCCTTTGTGAAACGGCGGGTGTTATAAGTATTCAACGGAAAACAAGCACAGCTTTTGGTGCAACAGACACATGATAACTGTGAGTTTCTCCTTTTGTCTCTCAGCCCTTGTCGGGCTCCAATTTGCAAAGCTCCAGAGTGGATCCCCAAGTTCTCTACCAGGAAATTGTGCAGGAGACTGAGGGAAAGGTGAGGAGGCAGCTATCAAATATTTTCCAGTTCTTTGTTGGAGGCCCTGGCCAGTGGGCATACTTGAGAATGAGGATAAACGAAAAGAGCGCCTCTTACCCATGATAATGGTGGCTGGAATCAGAGACCAGGCATGGACAAGAAGCCAGTGGAGAGTGCTGGAGGATGAGAACCATGGACACCTGAGTAAACCTATCATCAAAGCAAAAACAGCCTGAACCTGGAGTCTAAAGCCAAGTACTAAATCAAAGGATTAGAAAGATAAAGAGATCAAGCACAAGAAGGTTGGAAATGGCTAGAGGGAACATGGACTTGGTGAAGGCTATTGCCAGTGGCCAAGTGGCTATGTCCTGTGGCTGGACTGAAAGAATAGGATGCCATAAGGTGCTTCTGGAAGTCCCCTAAAAGTCCTGCACAGAGGCCGGGCGCGGTGACTCACGCCCGTAATCCCAGCACTTTGGAAGGCCGAGGCGGACGGATCACCTAAGGCCAGGAATTCCAGACCAGCCTGGCCAACATGGTGAAATCCTGTCTCTACTAACAATATGAAAATTAGCTGGGTAGAGTGGCACGCACCTATAATCCCAGCTACTCGGGAGGCTGAGGCAGGAGAATCGCTTGAACCTGGGAGGCGGAGGTCGCAGTGAGCTGAGATCGCACCACTGCATTCCAGCCTGGGAGACAGAGTGAGACTCCATCTCAAAAATAAAAATAAAAATAAAAAGTCCTGCGCAGAATGAACAGAAGCCGCTGTTGTGATGCCAGGGCCTTCTCTGGACGCCTGGGGACTTTTACCTTGACTTACACTCTTCTGATAATTCTAAAGGAGGCATCAGCTTGGGGAAATTGTGGAGGGCGGGGGAAGAGGCAGGACTGGGGAATATCACTCCTCTTCCTCGAATCAGAGGGAGTATTACTTCACACTCTGAAGCCAGAATAAAAATTGAAGTGAAAAAATGTGTTAGCGTAAGTTTAGGCCGGTGCTTCACTATTTACATGAACACAATGAACAATCAACAGCAAGTCAGTAAATGAGTGTTTACTGAGCAAATGCTCTCAAGATTGCTCTCAAGAGCAAATGCTCTCAAGCATGCCGCCCACCTTTCATGCAAACAGCAGCACCAGCTTTGACCTCTCAACTTCCCCATAAGGATTGATTTTGATTGACAAATTCTCTCAAATTTTTAAAAAACCAGTGGGATACGTGGACTGCTACTAGATTCCTTTACCTTAGATATGAATAGAACCTCTTTCATATTTTAATAAGTAGCTGACCTGTTAAGTTATTTTAAAGGCATTTACGAAATTTGCTCTCAGAGGTGATAAAACTGGGCACGGACATGCTGCAAAGGTAGGGCTCATGATATGGTTTGACTGTGTCCCCACCCAAATCTCATCCTGAATTGTAGTTCCAACAATTCCCATGTGTTGTGGAAGGGACCTGATGAAAGGTAATTGAATACTGGGGGCGGGGCTTTCCCGCGTTGTTCTCATGTTAGTGAATAAGTCTCACGAGATCTGATGGTTTTATAAAGGGGAGTTTCCCCACGCAAGCTCTCTTCTCTTGGTTGCCACCATGTAAGACTGTCTTTCATCTTCTGCCATGATTGTGAGGCCTCCGCAGCCACGTGGAACTGTGAGTCCCTTAAACCTCTTTATTTTTCAAATTGCCCAGTCCCGGGTATGTCTTTATCAGCAGCACGAAAACAGACTAATACAGTTCACAAGGCACCAACGTGCTCTTCTGGAGCGACTGGGGCCCACAGCCTGGCTCTCATTTTGATTCCATAGGATCATTTGGTGATGTCTGATTTCTACTAAACAAGTTCATAATACAGACAAAACCAGACTTCCAGATTTGGAAAGAATCTTAAGAATGCTCTGAAATACGAGTTCCCCAGGATGTTAATCATTTTCCCTTGGGGGAAAATGTCCATGATCAGATAAGTTTAGGAAATGCTAGGATAAATAATATTAAGCATACTTTTCTTACTGCAGAATTTCCCAGTCATACCTAGTATTCTATATGAATCACAAAGAGGATCACAAATTATAGGAAGTATCTCCAAAAATTACTTGGCCATAAAATCCTTTATACATTGAACACCTTTTAGAAAAATTAATAGTGTGTGTATGTGCAGTTTTAGATTTACAGAAAGTTTGGACAAAAAGAACAGAATTATCATATATCTTTTTTTTTTTTTTTTTTTTTTTTGAGACAGGGTCTCACTCTGTCACCCCCAACTGGAGTGTAGTGGTGCGATCTCCGCTCACTGCAACCTCCACCTCCCAGGCTCAAATGATTCTCCTGCCTCAGCCTCCTGAGTAACTGGGATTACAGGTACATACCACTACTGTCCGGCTAATTTTTGTATTTTTAGTAGAGGTGGGGCTTCAGTATGTTGGCCAGGCTGGTCTCAAACTCCTGACCTCAAATGATCCACCCGCCTCAGCCTTCCAAAGTACTGGGATTACGGGGTGAGCTACCACACCCCCAGCCTTAAGTTAAGAAGATAAGCCTATCTTCTTAACCTTCCGCCACCCCTAGCTTCCCACTATTACTAACATTTTGCATTAATGTGGTACATTTGTTACAATTAATGAGCCAAGATTGATGCATTATTATTAACTAAAATTTCATAGTTTACATTAGGGTTCACCCTTTGGGTTGTACATTCTATGGGTTCCGTCAGCTACATAATAACCTGTATTTACCATTACAATATCATATAGAAACAGAATAGTCACATTGCTGAAGGTGGATGTCCAGTTATTCTAATAGACTGGGCACTTTGCTAAGACTTTTATTCTGAGAGGGACAGTTGGGGGAATACTGACCGAATTTCATGTTGTAATTGTACAAGAGAAGAAATTGATTTTCTTCACAGAGAATTGATTTTCTCAAGGTCACACAATGAATGCTAGCTAAATTGAGAACAAACACTGATCTACAAATCAGAATTTCAATTTTAATTTTTAATGGAAGCTGTCTTTTCAGTGGGCAATTGTATGCGTTACCTGGTACCTTCTAAGTGAGAAGGTGGTTTTTCCATACAGATTAAATAATCAGAGGGTTATTTGGTGAAACAAAGCAAAGAGATTAAGAGAGTCTTGGAAGATATTTCATGTAGGTTGTGAGGTAACCTGAATATTTTTCCTACTTTACTATCTACTCCACTTTTCTAGTAACATAAATTATCATATCTCTTAGGGATGGTGTCTTTTTTCAGTCACTAGATACACACACATACACACGCACACACATTCGCTGTTTAATTTTCTTTGTCGTTGAGTAAACATATCACAATACTTGTATATCATTATGCCGATAAATTCAACATTCAGTTCTAAGCTCTTGTTCTTTGACAGGTACTGTAAGAGGGGTGGAAATTTCAGGAACACCTGCACTTTTCTTGATAAATGTTTCAGAGATTCTCCCATGACTTTTATAAGCTTTTGGAAGCTTTCACAATTTTATCTTTTATGTTTGGTTATAGAGAGTTAGTATGTTTACTTTATGTTAATTTTTCTGACATTGTACCTAAATTCCAGAAGTTACTGCTGTTTGGGGCCGGGTAATCAATAGGGACTGTCAAAAGAAATGATTTACCCTTCCCTTGGTTCTAATCACTTTCCCCAAATACATTGTCTCTATCAAGTCCATGCATGTAATATCCCAAATGCCTTATTGTAGGTGATTCTATTTTCATAGGAAGCAGGTAATATAAAACATTCTAACTTTGGGAGGCCAAGGCGGGCGGATCACGAGGTTAGGAGATCAAGACCATCCTGGCTAACACGGTGAAACCCCGTCTCTACTAAAAATACAAAAAAAAATTAGCCAGGCGTGGTGGCAGGCGCTTGTAGTCCCAGCTACTCGGGAGGCTGAGGCAGGAGGATGGCGTGAACCCAGGAGGTGGAGCTTGCAGTGAGCCAAGATTGTGCCACTGCACTCCAGCCTGGGTGACAGCGCGAGACTCTGTCTCAAAAAAAAAAAAAAAAGAATCATTTTAAAACTGTTTCTCTTTCTTTCTATTCTATTCAAGATTTTCAAATAGGTGAAGCTACAATTAGGACTGGCTACTTCAGTGAGTATATTAGCCTTTGAAGGGCAGGATTCACCCAGGTCATCTTTAGAGTAAATCAGCTTTAGAAAGTGAGACCTTGTTGTTACTCAGAGGGTAGCGTTGAATTACTGCCTCTACTGGACATCACCTCACAGGGCTTATTACTTTTCCCAGAACCCAATTATCTTACCACATCACAAAGTATTTTACTTAGTCATTAGATGTTTTGAATTACAGAGGTAAAATTTTCTATTATTTACAGACAAAATATGGCAAGGGTAGACAATCTAGAAAGAGAGATAGAACAGAATGTTTCTAAATTTATACTATTGACGATAATAAAACTTCAGAGAAAAAGAGCAAAAATCACCAAATTAAAAACAACAACATGAATATCTGCTCCAACCAATGAAGAAACGAAGAAACAAAAATGTGTTAAGCATCAAGACAAAACCCTGCCTATCGTTGATGCTCAATCAAAATTTGTGGAATTGAATTGGCTTCGTTAATTCATGGTTGATTTATCTAATGAGACACTGGAGGGCTGCTATTATGTCTCTGTAAAGAGAGGTAGTTACACTTTAGACAGCAGAAGTGTGGAAAACAGGCTGATGTGGTTGTTTTGTTGTTGTTGTTGTTGTTGTTGTTGTTTGGTTTTGAGACAGGGTCTTACTCTGACACCTAGACTGGAGTGCAACGGTGCCATCACAGCTCACTGCAACCTCTAACACCTGAGCTCACTGATCCTTCTGCCTCAGCCTCCCGAGTAGCTGGGAGCATAGCTGCGTGCCATGATATCTGGCTAATTTTTATTTTTTAATATGGAGATGGGGTTTCACTATATTGCCAGGCTGGTCTCAAACTCCTGGGCTCAAGTGATTCCTCTGCCTTAATTTACCAAAGTGCTGAGATTACAGGTGTGAGCCACCATGCCCAAGGCTTTTGTTTTATCAATTTTGTTTTAATATTAAATTCTAATAAACTTTTTTCATTATGAAAATATTCAGGCAGGCATAAGTGTAGAAGAATTAGTAGAATGGGCCCGTGTTGTAAATCAGCCAGCTTTAACAATTGTAAATACATCAATTTTGTTTCATCTATTCTGCCTCACCCACTACCCCTTACTGT